TCTCTGTGTGGGTGCCCTGGGGCCGCTCCCTGGGCTGGGGGTGCAGCTGCTGGGGCAGATAAAGGGGCCCCGTCCTGCCCCTCCCAGCCTGGGGCAGATACTGGGCTGGGTGCACAACGAACATTTCCCCAAAATCTCCCTCCCCATCATCCTGGGGTGCAGCTCTGGGCTAAGGTCATTCCTCCTGGGTCACCTTTTGGAGAAAAAATTGGCTTTTTGGTAAACTTTTCTGGGGTTTTTCTTGGGTTTTTTGGGTATTTTTTTAAGTTGCTTTTTTATTATTATTTTTAAATTTTTTTTGTTTATTTTGTGTTTTTTTGGGGGGGGGTTGTGGTTTTTGTTTTTGTTTTGTCTTGGTTTTTTTTGTTTTGTTTTATTTTTTGTGGGTTTTTTTTATTTTGGTTTTGTTTGGTTTTTGGTTTGGGGTTTTTTAAATGGAAGCTGTGAGGTTTAGTGCTTAGAAAAGAAGGAAAAGTTTGTGTGAGTGATCAGAGCTGGAGTTCGCTTCATTTGAGTCCCTGGCTGATGATTTCCTTTTGCACCCTCCCTGCACCAATATTCCTTTGTTTTTATGGAAATCTCCCTTTCCAATCTTGTTTGACAGAGGATTTGGTGCTTTGTTGGTCCTGGGGGTTTGAGCTCCTGGATCCTTCCCAGCCCCACTCCAGGTCCTGCCTCATTCCTGTGTGGGTTTAATTTAAAGCCATACATTTAAAAATTGATTTATTTTAATAAAACCTCCGGTGCTGAAGGAGTTAAAGCTGCCCTTACCGCACTTCCCAGTGCCCGGGGCTGGGAGGGTTTGGGGTGCAGGGAGGGGTGGGATGGGGTTTGCACACCCGGGGAATTCCCCGCTCGTTTCCTGGCTGGGGTTTCACAATCGGCTCCGGCTGCCCCTGGGCTCTGCTGGGCAGAGCAGGGGGAATTCATTTCCTTCTTTTCTTTCTCTCTTTCTGTCTTTTCTTTCTCCCTTTATCTCTCTCTTCCTGTCTTCCTTTCCTTCCTTTTCTTTATTTTCCTTCTTTTCCTTCCTTTCTTTCTCTCTTTCTCCCTTTCTTTGCTTTTCTTTCTTTTCCTTCCTTCCCCTTCCTCCTCTCTCTTTCTCTCTCTTTCTCTCTCTTTCTCTCTCTTTCTCTCTCTTTCTCTCTCTTTCTCTCTCTTTCTCTCTTCCTTTCCTTTCTCTTTCTTTCTTTCTTTCTTTCTTTCTTTCTTTCTTTCTTTCTTTCTTTCTTTCTTTCTTTTTTTTTTCCTTCCTTCCTTCCTTCCTTCCTTCCTTCCTTCCTTCCTTCCTTCCTTCCTTCCTTCCTTCCTTCCTTCCTTCCTTCCTTCCTTCCTTCCTTCCTTCTTTTCCTTCCTCCCTCCCTCCCTCCCTTTCTTTCTCCCTTTCTTTGCCTTCCTTCCTCATTTTGTTTCTCTTTCTTTCTCTCTTCCTTCTTTTCCTTCCTTTCTCTCTCTCCCTTTTTCCTTTCCTTTCCTTTCCTTTCCTTTCCTTTCCTTTTTCCTTTCCTTTCCTTTCCTTTCTCTCTTCTCTTCTCTTCTCTTCTCTTCTCTTCTCTTCTCTTCTCTTCTCTTCTCTTCTCTTCTCTTCTTCCTTTCTTCTTTTCTCTTTCTCCTTTTCTTTTCCTTCCTGCCTTCCTCTCTTTCTTTCTCTCTTCATTTCCTTCTTTTCCTTCCTTTCTTTTCCTTTACGTTCCTTCATCTATCTCTCTCTTTTCTCTCTATTTCTCTCTTTCCCTCTCTCTTTCCTCTCTCCTTCCTTCCTTTCTCCCCTCTCTGCCCCCTCAGATCGGGCTCTGGGTCCCTCCCTGGGGTCTCTCAGACCCTGGGAGCTGAATCTGCCTCTGCCCCCCCTCCTGCCAGCTCTGATTCTCCATCCTGCTGGTCTTTTATTAATTATAACAGCCATTAACAAAAATGGTTAACTGTCTTTTGTTATGAGGTCTTTTAAGGTTAAATTATTTAATTAATGAATGATACTTAAGTTATTTCCTTTTTGAACTAAATACTCTAAGTCTGCACTGTGGACTTTTTTGATTAATTACAAAATACTGCTTAAACTTAGGGAGAAGAAGGAAAAGAGGAACAATGTGTTTCTGCCTTAAAACTTTTCATATTTATTACTACACTTTAAATTTCTAATTTGTGATATTCCACAATTTTAACTAACTACACACTTGTAATCTTAGTGGTATTAATTAATTTTGGAATTTCTCCACAGCCTCAGGCCAGATGCAGTGGGGTTTTTTTGTGAGTCTGTGCCTTTCAGCACAGAAAGTTAAAAATTCTTAAAATTTTTCATATTTATTACTATATTTTAAAATTCTAAACTCTGAGTTTTCCACTTTGTGATATTCAACAATTTTAACTAACTACACACTTGTAATCTTAGTGGTATTAATTAATTTTGGAATTTCTCCACAGCCTCAGGCCCAGTGCAGTGGGGTTTTTTTGTGAATCTGTACCTTTCAGCACAGAAAGTTAAAAATTCTTAAATTTTTTTTCATATTTATTACTATACTTTAAAACTCTAAACTCTGAGTTTTCCACTTTGTGATATTCCACACTTTTAACTGACTACACACTTGTGATCTTAGTGCTGTTCATTAATTTTGGAATTTCTCCACAGCCTCAGTGGGGGTTTTTTTGTGAGTCTCTGCCTCTCAGCACAGACAGTGAGGAATTTTTGCCACGCAGGTTTCTGACCCACCCTGACGGGATTTTCCCCTTTTTTTTCCCAGCCGATGTGTCCGGAGTGAAGCAGCTGCCAGAGCAGGGCAAGGCCTCCCCCATGGGCACCTCAGACATGGAGAGGAAAACGTCCTACGGTGAGGGGGCACGGTGAGGGGGCACGGGGGACACCCCCTTTCCTCAGACATCCCTGGGCTTTTTGGGTGCTGGGGCTGAACCCCCTCATCTTCCCTTCCCTTCCCTTCCCTTCCCTTCCCTTCCCTTCCCTTCCCTTCCCTTCCCTTCCCTTCCCTTCCCTCTCCCCCTTCCTTTTGGGGTGCTGGGCTGAGCCTTCATCCCCCCCCCTTCCCCTCAGCCATCCCTGCTTTTTTTGTGCTTTTGGGGTGCTCCCTTCAGCTCTCTCTGCTTTTTTGTGCTTTTTGGGGTGCTGGGCTGAGCCTTCATGCCCCCCCCTTCCTTTTGGGGTGCAGGGCTGATCCCCTTAATCCCCCCCTTCCCCTTCCTTTAGCCATCTCTGTGCTTTTTAGGGTGTTCCCTTCAGCCATCCCTGCTTTTTGGGGTGCTGGGGCTGAACTCCCTCATTCTCCCCTTTCCTTCAGCCATCCCTGGGCTTTTTGTGCTTTTTGGGATGCAGGGCTGATCCGCCTCAGCTCCACCCTTCCTTCAGCCCTCCCTGCTTTTTGGGGAGTTCCCTTCAGCCCTATCCCTTTTTGGGGTGAGCCCTCATCCTCCCCTTCCCTTCAGCCTCATCTCTGCTTTTTGGGGTGCTGGGCTTCCCTTCAGCCATCCCTTTTCAGGGTGCAGGGCTGATCCCCCTCATCCCCACCCTTCCCTTCAGCCCCATCTCTGCTTTTTGTGCTTTTTGGGGTTCAGGGCTGAGCCCCTGCAGCGCCCCGGGCTCACCCAGCCCAGCTGAACCAACCCAGCCTGGGCAGGGATGTCCTGGGGGAGAGCTGGGACAGGGAGCCCTGCACACCTGGGCAGTTCCAGCAGGGCTCCCTGCACACCTGGGCAGTTCCAGCACACCTGGGCAGTTCCAGCAGGGCTCCCTGCACACCTGGGCAGCTCTGACAGAGATCCCTGCACACCTGGGCAGCTCTGACAGGGTTCCCAGCACACCTGGGCAGCTCTGACAGGGAGATCAGGGATCCCAGCACACCTGGGCAGCTCTGACAGGGAGATCAGGGCTCCCTGCACACCTGAGCAGCTCTGACAGAGATCCCAGCACACCTGGGCAGCTCTGACAGGGATCCCAGCACACCTGGGCAGTTCCCTGCACACCTGGGCAGCTCTGACAGGGCTCCCTGCACACCTGGGCAGTTCCAGCAGGGCTCCCTGCACACCTGGGCAGTTCCCTGCACACCTGGGCAGTTCCAGCAGGGTTCCCTGCACACCTGGGCTGTTCCCTGCACACCTGGGCAGTTCCAGCAGGGCTCCCTGCACACCTGGGCAGTTCCCTGCACACCTGGGCTGTTCCCTGCACACCTGGGCAGCTCTGACAGGGCTCCCTGCACACCTGGGCAGTTCCAGCAGGGCTCCCTGCACACCTGGGCAGTTCCCTGCACACCTGGGCAGTTCCCAGCAGGGTTCCCAGCACACCTGGACAGTTCCCAGCACGGCTCCCTGCACACCTGGGCAGTTCCCAGCACACCTGGGCAGTTCCCAGCAGGGTTCCCTGCACACCTGGGCTGTTCCAGCAGGGCTCCCTGCACACCTGGGCAGTTCCCAGCAGGGTTCCCAGCACACCTGGACAGTTCCCAGCACGGCTCCCTGCACACCTGGGCAGTTCCCAGCACACCTGGGCAGTTCCCAGCAGGGTTCCCAGCACACCTGGGCAGTTCCCAGCAGGGTTCCCTGCACACCTGGGCTGTTCCCTGCACACCTGGGCAGTTCCCAGCAGGGTTCCCAGCACACCTGGGCAGTTCCCAGCAGGGTTCCCTGCACACCTGGACAGTTCCCAGCACACCTGGGCAGTTCCCAGCAGGGTTCCCTGCACACCTGGGCTGTTCCCAGCAGGGTTCCCAGCACACCTGGGCAGTTCCAGCACACCTGGGCAGTTCCAGCAGGCCTCCCCTGTCCGAGGAGGCCCCGGCCGGGCGGGGGAGGAGGAGGAGGAGCCCCGGTGATGCAATGGCAGCTCTGCCCTGCCCGGCCCTGCCCGGCCCAGAGCGCGGCGGCTGCGGAGGGGAGGGGATGGCACCGGGGGAGAAAGGCAGTGAGTGCGGCTGGGGGGGTGTATGGGATTGTGGGGGGCTCTGGGGGGCTGGGAGAGAGTGGGGGGCTGTGTGGGGTTTTATAGGATTGGGAGAGAGTGTGGGATTTGGAGGGAGTATAGGATTGAGTATGGGATCGAGTGTGGGATTGTGAGGGGCTGGGAGAGAGTGTGGGGTTGTGTGGGACTGGAAGAGAATATGGGATCAAGTGTGGGATTAGGAGACAGTGTGGGATTGTGTGGGATTGGGAAAGTGTGGGATTGTAAAGGATTGGAAGAGAATGTGGGATTGTGTGGGACTGGGAGAGAGTGTGGGATTGGGAGAGAATGTGGGATTGTATAGGATTGGGAGAGAGTGTGGGGTTGTGTGGGATCAAATATGGGATTAGGAGACAGTGTGGGATTGTGAGGGATTGGGAAAGTGTGGGATTGTGAGGGATTGGAAAAGAGTGTGGGGTTGTTTAGGACTGGGAGAGAGTGTGGGATTGTGTGGGATTGTATAGGATTGGGAGAGAATGTGGGATTGTGTGGGACCGGGAGAGAGTGTGGAGTTGTGTGGGGTTGTGTGGGACTGGGAGGGTGTGGGATTTGGACAGAGTATGGGATCGAGTATGGGACTGGCATCAAGTATGGGATTGTGAGGGACTGGGAGAGAATGTGGGGTCGAGTATGGCACTGGGAGTGTGGGGTTGTGTGGGATTGGGAGAGAGAATGGGATTGAGTATGGAATTAGGAGACAGCATGGGACTGCGTGGAGTTGGGAGAGAGTGTGGGGTTGTATGGGATTGGGAGAGCGGGGCTGTGTGGGGTTTTACAGGATTGGGAGAGAGTGTGGAGTTGTATGAGAGAATGGGATTGTGTGGGGTTATGTGGGATTAGAAGAGAGTGTGGGGTTGTGTGGGGTTGGGAGAGAGTGTGGGGCTGAGCCTAGGATGGGAACAGAGTGCGGAGTTGTGTGGGATTAGGAGGGAATATGGGATTGTATAGGACTGGGAGAGAGTGTGGGGTCGAGTGTGGGGTTGGAATAGAGTGTGGGGTGCTGTGGGGTTGTGAGGGATTTGGAGAGTATGAGATGGAGTATGGGACTGGGAGAGAGTGAGGGATTATGTGGGGTTGTATGGGATTGTATAGGATTCAGAGGGAGTGTGGGATTGAGTATGGGGTTGGGAGAGAGTGTGGGGTCGAGTATAGGATTGGGGGAGAGTGTGGGGTTCTGTGGGGTTGTATAGGAGTGGGAGAGAGTTTGGGATCAAGTATGGGACTGGGAGAGAGTGTGGGGCTGTGTGGGGTTTTATAGGATTGGGAGAGAGTGTGGGATTGAGAGTGAGTGTGGGGTTTTGTGGGGTTGGGGGAGAGTATGGGATTGGGAGAGAGCGTGGAATTGTGTGGGGCTGTATGGGATTGGGAGTGAGTGGAAGGTTGTGTGGGGTCGAGTATGGGATTGTAGGGGATTTGGAGAGTGTGGGGTTGTACAGGTTTGGGGGAGAGTGTGGGGCTGTGTGGGGTTGGGAGAGAATGTGGGGTTGAGTATGGGACTGGGAGAGACTGTGGGATTATGTGGGATTGTATAGGATTGGGAGAGAATGTGGGGTCGAGTATGGACTGGGATCAAATATGGGATTGTGTGGGATTTGGAGAGAGGATGGGATTGTGTGGGGTTGTATGGGGTTGGGAGAGAATGTGGGTTTCTGTGGGGTAGTGTGGGGTTGGGGGAGTTTTACAGGATTGGGAGAGTGAGATTGTGTGGGATCGTGTAGGATTTGGAGGGAGTTTGGGATCGAGTATGGGATTGGGAGAGAGTGTGGGCTTCTGTGGGGTTCTGGGGGTTGTGAGGGACTGGGAGAGAGCACAGGATGGGGATTTTGCTGCTGGTGTTGGGGCAGAAGGTGGGGATGTGGAAAATGGGGATGTGGGGATGTGGAATATGGGAACATGGGATATGGGAATTGGGGATGTGGAAAATGGGGATGTGGGAATGTGGAATATGGGGATGTGGAATATGGGGATGTGGGAATTGGGGATGTGGAAAATGGGGATGTGGGAATATGGGAATGTGGGAATTGGGGATGTGGGATCCTGCAGGGAGGCCCTGCTCCTCTCCTCCCCCCTCACCTCTGGAGCCCCAGGAGCTCCCAGGCTGTCCCTGCTGGGCCTGCCCCTTGTTTCCAATGATGGATTCCCTGGGATCCAGCAGGACAGGCTGGGATGGAGCTGCAGGAGCAGCCCCAGCCCTCTCTGGGATCTGCCCCATCCAAATTAATCATTAATTAATCATTAATCATTTTGGCTGCTCCTCCACTACTCCTGATCAGCCCCCAGGATGGGTTTTTTAAACTTCCCTGGAATAAATAAATAAATCCCAGCCTGGAACCAGGAGGGAGAGAGGATTCTGAGAGGTGCAGGGTGGGGTATTTTAATTCAGTTACCTCTTTATCACTTAATTAGTGATAAATTAATTATCAGCTGTGTTGCCTTGTGGGGCTCCTGTCAGATCTCCTGTCCCTGCAGGGCTGCTCAGTGCTCCTGTCCCTCTGTGGACATTCAGGAACACAAAATCACAGAATGATTATTGGTTGATTGATATTGATTATTAATTATGATTGTTATTATTGATTTTGATTCTTCATTATAATTATATAACACCAGCAGTGCTTTTATTGAGGAGCTCAGGGTGTCAGGGGTACCGACCCAAATCTGACCTGACATTTTGACCTGAACATGTTTTATATTCCATCATTACATAATTTAAATATTAATTGTTAAGCTGACATTGTTCTATTGTATACATTGATTTCATCCAAGCAGGGATTTCTCATGATCCCCCTCAAACCCCTAACATATTTCCTCATGATTTTTTAAACAATTATATCTAATAATTACATGGTTTATCATACAGTGATTACACAGGTGCAGTTTTATATTCTATCATTATATAATTCAAATATTAATGATTAAACTGACATTGTTCTGTTGCAGACATTGATTTCATCCAAGCACGGATTTCTCATGGTCCCCCTCAAACCCCAACATTAGTCTCTCATGATTCTTTAAACAATAATTATATCTAATAATATTATTTATCATATACTGATTACACAGGTGCAGATTTATATTCTGTTCTATCAATATATAATTTAAATATTAATTATTAAACTGACATTGTTCTATTGTATACATTGATTCAATCCAAGCACAGATTTCTCGTGATCCCCCTCAAACCCCTGACAAAATTTCTCACGATTCTGCTTATAATTAAACAATAATTATATCTAACAATTATATTATTTATCATACACTGATTACACAGGTGCAGTTTTATATTCTATCATGATATAATTCAAATATTAATTATTAAACTGACATTGTTTTGTAGACATTGATTTCATCCAAGCACAGATTTCTCATGATCTCCTCAAACCCCAACATAGTCTCTCATGATTCTTCTTACAGTTGAACAATAATTATATCTAACAATTATATTATTTATCATACACTGATTACACAGGTGTTTATATTCTATCATTATATAATTTACCTATTAATGATTAAACTGGCATTGTTCTGTTGCAGACATTGATTTCATCCAAGCAGGGATTTCTCGTGATCCCCCTCAAACCCCAACATAGTTTCTCACGATTCTTTAAACAATAATAATATCTACTAATTATTTATCATCAATATTAGTTATTAATAAATATTTATCACACATTGATGCAATTTCACCTGATCCAGCACACACAAGGCCTGACATTCCCAGGGCTGACCTTTACCATTCCCCAGGGTTTACCAAGCCTGAATTCCTTTCTAACTCCCCAGATTTCCATGATTTTGAACCCATTTTCTGTGTCCCTGCAGAGGATGTCTCTGGGGAGCCCGGGGGGCTCGGGGGGGTGCTCAGCACCATCTCCAGCAGCAGGAGCCCCCTGCAGCCCCCCGAGGCTGAGGATGAGGAGCCCTTCAGCACCTACTTCAACAGCAAGATCCCCATCCCCGAGGACGAGACGGTGAGTGGGGAAATCCCTGCTGGAAAAATCAGCCCCACACTCCCCTGAGTCGCTGCCGGGGCTCCAGTTCCCCTCCAGCCTGTACTGGGAGTGACTGGGAGGGGTCTGCCGTGGTCTGGGGGGGTGTTACTGATGGATCCCAGGGATCTGGATCCTGCTTGGGGCAGCCAAAGAGCAGGAAAAGGCCAGGGCATGGTGGGGGGCTCAGGGGTTGCTCAGCACCATCCCCAGCAGCAGGAACCCCCTGAGGAGGAGACAGTGAGTGGGGAAAACTGCTGGAAAAATCAGCCCCAGACACCCCTGAGTCACTGCCAGGGCTCCAGTTCCCCTCCAACCTGTACTGGGAACCACTGGGAAGGAAGTGCTGTGGTTTGGGGGTGTTAGTGATGGATCCCAGGGATTTGGGTCCTGCTTGGAGCAGCCAAAGAGCAGGAAAAGGCCTGGGCATGGTGGGGGGCTCGTCATGGGATGTCCCATCCCTGTGGGGACATGGGGGATGTCCCATCCCTGTGGGGACATTAGGGTGTCCCATCCCTGTGGGGACATGGGGGGTGTCCCATCCCTGTGGGGACATTGGGGTGTCCCATCCCTGTGGGGACATGGGGGATGTCCCATCCCTGTGGGGACATGGGGGGTGTCCCATCCCTGTGGGGACATGGGGGATGTCCCATCCCTGTGGGGACATGGGGGATGTCCCATCCCTGTGGGGACATGTGGGGGTGTCCCATCCCTGTGGGGACATTGGGGTGTCCCATCCCTGTGGGGACATTGGGAGTGTCCCATCCCTGTGGGGACATTGGGGTGTCCCATCCCTGTGGGGACATGGGGGGTGTCCTGTCCCTGTGGGGACATCGGGGATGTCCCATCCCTGTGGGGATATTTGAGATCTCCCAGATCTGCCATCCTTGTGACTTTGGGGACATGGGGGATGTCCCATCCCTGTGGGGACATTGGGGTTTCCCATCCCTGTGGGGACATTTGTTATGTCCCATCCCTGTGCTCCTGGGGGGTTTTGGGCTCTCCCGGTGCCCCCCTGGTTTGGGCAGCCCAAGGAGGGAGCAGGGGGATGTTGGCATTTCCCAATGTTGGAATTTCCCAGTCAGGAATAAAATCTGGGATTTCAGCTCCTGCCAGCTCAGCAATGATGAAAAATCACAAGAAATTATGAGGAAACAGTTTTTGGGTCAAAACCTGGTTGAGGTTGGGTCATTTCCTGCTGGAAAAATCAGCCCCAGACACCCCTGAGTCACTGCCAGGGCCCCAGTTCCCTTCCAGCCTGCACTGGGAGTGACTGGGACAGGGGGAGGGGAGGGGGCAGGGCTGTGCCTGCTCTGGGGGATTTGTGAGGCCCCAGGTGTGTTAATGATTGATCCCAGGGGATTTGGAGCAGCCAGAGGGCAGGGACGGGCCTTGGCAGGGCTCAGGGAGGGACCCTGAGGGGCCTTTGTGTCCCTTATCAGGGATGGGAGCTGTGGCTGCCCTCGTGACACTGGACCCCATGTCCCCTCTGTCCCCATTGTCCCCTCTGTCCCCTGGCCCCCGATGCCCCCTGCCCTTGGGGAGGGTCCTGCTTCCCCCTGGGGTCCCATGGGTGCCACCTTGACTGTCCCAGAGCCTGGGGACAGCCCAGACTGGGAGCAGCAATCCCAGCTTTGGGCTGGGCTCAGGATCAGGCCAGGTTTAGGATCAGGCTGGGTTTAGGAGCAGGCTGGGTTTAGGATCAGGCTGGGTTTGGGATCAGGCTGGGTTTGGGATCAGGCTGTCTCAGGATCAGGCTGGGTTTAGGAGCAGGCTGGGTTTGAGAACAGGCTGGGTTTGGGATCAGGCTGTCTCAGGATCAGGCTGGGTCTGGGGTCAGGCTGGGTTTGGGATCAGGCTGGGTTTAGGGTCAGGCTGGGTTTAGGGTCAGGCTAGTTTAGGATCAGGCTGGGTTTAGGATCAGGTTGTCTCAGGATCAGGCTGGGTTTAGGGTCAGGCTGGGTTTGGGATCAGGCCGGGTTTAGGGTCAGGCTGGGTTTAGGGTCAGGCCGGGCTCAGGAGCAGGCCGGGTTTAGGGTCAGGCTGGGTTTGGGATCAGGCCGGGTTTAGGGTCAGGCTGGGGTTAGGGTCAGGCTGGGTTTGGGATCAGGCCGGGTTTAGGGTCAGGCTGGGTTTAGGGTCAGGCTGGGTTTGGGATCAGGCCAGGTTTAGGGTCAGGCTGGGTTTGGGATCAGGCTGGGTTTAGGGTCAGGCTGGGTTTAGGGTCAGGCTGGGTTTAGGGTCAGACTGGGTTTAGGGTCAGGCTGGGTTTAGGATCAGGTTGTCTCAGGATCAGGCCGGGTTTAGGGTCAGGCTGGGTTTAGGGTCAGGCTGGGTTTAGGGTCAGGCCGGGTTTAGGGTCAGGCCGGGTTTAGGGTCAGGCTGGGTTTAGGGTCAGGCTGGGTTTAGGATCAGGTTGTCTCAGGATCAGGCCGGGTTTAGGGTCAGGCTGGGTTTGGGATCAGGCTGGGTTTCCGATCAGGCCGGGTTTAGGGTCAGGCTGGGTTTGGGATCAGGCCGGGTTTAGGGTCAGGCTGGGTTTGGGATCAGGCTGGGTTTAGGGTCAGGCTGGGTTTGGGATCAGGCCGGGTTTAGGGTCAGGCTGGGTTTAGGGTCAGGCTGGGTTTAGGGTCAGGCTGGGTTTAGGGTCAGGCCGGGCTCAGGAGCAGGCCGGGTTTAGGGTCAGGCTGGGTTTAGGGTCAGGCTGGGTTTGGGATCAGGCCGGGTTTAGGGTCAGGCTGGGTTTAGGGTCAGGCTGGGTTTGGGATCAGGCTGGGTTTAGGGTCAGGCTGGGTTTGGGATCAGGCCGGGTTTAGGGTCAGGCTGGGTTTAGGGTCAGGCTGGGTTTAGGGTCAGGCCGGGTTTAGGGTCAGGCTGGGTTTAGGGTCAGGCTGGGTTTAGGGTGAGATCAGGGCCTGGTTTGGTTTCACAGCCCTGCAGAGTTTGGGGTGGGTTAGGATCAGGCTGAGCTGGGGTGACACAGCAATGAGCCTCTTGTTGAGAGTGACCAAATTGTCCTTTGTCACTTTAAAAAGGAAATAACCCCAGGAGCAAAAACCTCTTGCCCTAACTCAGCTTTTCTCTATAAAGAGATTTGTTATTTTGCCTTTTAATAAAACCTTTTTGTTTCCAACACCACCACAGAAGCCATCCTGCTGATTTTGTGCCTTCTAAGGTAGCTGAGCTCTCTTGGGTGTGAAATAAACCTCAAAAGCTTATGAGACCAGGCTCGAAGAGATCCGTACATCAGTGGAGTTCATTTTTTTCCCCTCGTGCACCCAGCTCAGGTTTTCTCTATAAGGAGATTTGTTATTTTTGCCTTTATTCAATTTTTTTTTTCGTTTCCAACACCACCACTGCTGATTTTATCCATCTGAAGTAGCTGAGCTATCTTGGGTGTGAGATAAATCTCCAAGAGCTGATGAGACCTGGCTGGAGGAGACCCTTACATCAGTGGAGTTTGGGTTTTTTTCCATCTTGCCCTAACTCAGTTTTTCTCTATAAACAGTTTTGTTATTTTGCCTTTTAATAAAACCTTTTTGTTTCCAACACCAGCACAGAAGCCATCCTGCTGATTTTGTGCCATCTGAGGTAGCTGAGCTACCTTGGGTGTGAAATAAATCCCCAAGATCTTAGGAGACCTCTTGAAGATACCCCTGTTGGGTGTCAGTGATGGAATTAATTAATTAATTAGTTAATTTGTGTCCCTCCTGCAGCATTCCTGCTTCAGCTTCCGCAAGCTGTGGGCGTTCACGGGCCCGGGGTTCCTGATGAGCATCGCGTACCTGGACCCCGGCAACATCGAGTCCGACCTGCAGTCAGGGGCTGTGGCCGGCTTCAAGGTGGGCAGGGACCCCAAAATGTCACCAGCAATGTCACACGGGGGGCTGGAGGCACCCAGAGAGTGTGGGGTCATCCCTGGGGCTGGGGGGACGTTGGGGATGTCACATTGGGGATCTGCATTCCTGTGGTTGTGGGGACATTTGGGATGTCCCATTGGGGATCTCCCATCCCTGGGGCTATGGGGACATTGGGGATGTCCCTTTTGGGATGTCCCATTTGAAATGTCCCGTCCCTGTGGCTGTGGGGACATTGGGGGTGTCCCTTTTGGGATGTCCCATCCCTGTGGGGACATTGGGGATCTCCCATCCCTATGGTTGTGGGGACATTTGGCATGTCCCATGTGCACTGGGAAGGGCTGTGGGGAAAATGAGATGTCCCATCCCTATGCTCTGGGAAGGGCTGTGGGGACATTGGGGATGTCCCATTTGGGATGTCACATTCCTGTGGTCGTGGGGACATTTGGGATGTCCCATCCCTATGCTCTGGGAAGGGCTGTGGGGAAAATGTCCCATCCCTGGGGTTGTGGGGACATTTGAGATCTCCCATTTGGGATGTCCCATCCCTGTGGGGACATTTGGGATGTCCCATGTGCACTGTGAAAGGGCTGTGGGGACATTGGGGATGTCCCATTTGGGATGTCCCATCCCTGTGGCTATGGGGACATTTGGGATGTCCCTTTTGGGATGTCCCATTTGGGATGTCCCGTCCCTGTGTCTGTGGGGACATTTGGGATGTCCCATGTGCACTGGAAAGGGCTGTGAGGACATTGGGAATGTCCCATCCCTCTGGGGACATTTGGGATCTCCCATTTGGGATTTCCCATCCCTGTGGCTGTGGGGACGTTTGGGGTGTCCCTGTGTCTGGGGACACTGGGGCTGTCCCAGAGAGGAGGATCCTGGCCTGGTGTCCCTTTGGATCCCCCCCACTCCGGCTCTGGGGTCAGAACTCCCCAAAATCCTCAACACTGGGGTTTGGAGCAGCCCAGCACGGTGGGGTCTGGGGCACTGGGGCTGCCGTGTCCCCCCACACACTGATGTCCCCTGTGTGTGTCCCCACCCACTGATGTCCGCTGTGTCCCTGTGTGTGTCCCCACCCACTGATGTCCCCTGTGTCCCTGTGTGTGTCCCCACCCACTGATGTCCCCTGTGTTCCCTGTGTCCCCCCACTCACTGATGTCCCCCTGTGTCCCTGTGTGTGTCCCCCCACACACTGATGTCCCCTGTGTCTCGGTGTGTGTCCCCTGTACCCCTGTGTCCCCCTACCCACTGGTGTCCCCTGTGTCCCTGTGTGTATCCCCACCCACTGATGTCCCCTGTGTCCCCTGTGTGTCCCCCCACCCACTGGTGTCCCCTGTGTCCCTGTGTGTATCCCCACCCACTGATGTCCCCTGTGTCCCCTGTGTGTCCCCCCACCCACTGGTGTCCCCTGTGTCCCTGTGTGTGTCCCCACCCACTGATGTCCCCTGTGTTCCCTGTGTGTGTCCCCACCTACTGATGTCCCCTGTGTCTCTGTGTGTGTCCCCCCACCTACTGATGTCCCCCTGTGTCCTTGTGTGTGTCCCTGTGTCCCCCTGTGTCCCCTGTGTGTGTCCCCCCACCTGCTGATGTCCCCTGTGTGTCCCCCCATGCACTGATGTCCCCCTGTGTCCCCTGTGTGTGTCCCCCCACCTACTGATGTCCCCTGTGTGTGTCCCTCCATGCACTGATGCCCCCTGTGTGTCCCCCCACCCACTGGTGTCCTCTGTGTGTCCCTGTGTCCCCCCACCCATTGATGTCCCCTGTGTGTCCCCCCACCCACTGATGTCCCCCTGTGTGTGTCCCTGTGTCCCCCCACCCACTGATGTCCTCTGTGTCCCCATGTGTGTCCCCCCATGCACTGCTGTCCCCTGTGCGTCCCTGTGTGCCCCCACCCATTGATGTCCCCGTGTGTCCCCACGCACTGATGTCCCCTGTGTGTGTCCATGTGTCCCCCCCCCACTGATGTCCCCTGTGTCCCCCCCACACTGATGTCCCCTGTCCCCCATGTGTCCCCACGCACTGATGTTCCCCATGTCCCCCCACACTGATGTCCCCTGTCCCCCGTGTGTCCCTGTGTGTGTCCCTGTGTGTCCCCCCACACTGATGTCCCGTGTCCCCGTGTGTCCCCAGCTGCTGTGGGTGCTGCTGCTGGCCACCATCATCGGGCTGCTGCTGCAGCGGCTGGCGGCCAGGCTGGGCGTGGTCACAGGGCTGCACCTGGCCGAGGTGTGCCACCGCCAGTACCACAAGGTGGGTGCCAGGGGCACGGGGAGGGGGCTGGGGCACTGCCCTGGCTGCTCAGAGGGGGCTGGGGTGGGTGGGTGACACTGCCCTCAATCCTCAGGGGTGCCAAGGGGGGCTGGGGTAGGTGGGTGATCCTCCCCCAGATCCTCAGGGTGGGTGGGTGACACTGCCCAAGGTCCTCAGGGTGGGTGGGTGACGCTGCCCAAGGTCCTCAGGGTGGGTGGGTGACACTGCCCCAAATCCTCAGGGTGGGTGGGTGACGCTGCCCAAGGTCCTCAGGGTGGGTGGGTGACACTCCACCAGGTATTTAGGGGTGCCACAGGGGCTGGGGTCAGCCCTGGGGAGCTGGGGAGGGTGGGTGGTGGGGGGCAGAAGGCAGGGGACCCAGGGGACCCCCACAGTGTCCCTGGTGGTTCCAGGGCGTCCCTGAGGCCCATGGGGTGTCCAGTCCCTGTGCACTGGGAAGGGCTGTGGGGACATTTGGGACATCCCCATCCCTCTGACTGTGAGGACATTTCGGATGTCCTATTTGGGACATCCCATCCCTCTGACTGTGGGGACATTTGGGACATCCCATCCCTCTGACTGTGAGCACATTTGGGATGTCCTATTTGGGATGCCCATCCCTGTGTCTGGGGACATTTGGGTGTCCCATCCCTGTGTCTGGGGACAATGGGGATGCCATCCCTGTCTCTTAGGGGACATTTGGGTGTCCCATCCCTGTGTCTGGGGATATTTTGGATGCCATCCCTGTCTCTGTGGGGACATTTTGGTGTCCCATCCCTGCTCCCTTGGGTGTTCCCGCCCTGGCAGTGTCCCTGCCCTGCCCTGGAATGTCTCCCCACGCTCACTCCCGGTTTCCCCACAGCTGCGGCTCCCGCATTTCCCTCTGCCAGCTGGGCAGGGGCTGGGCTGGGTGCCCTGGATCCTCCTGGCATTGCCACAGGAGCTGGGCTGGGTGCCCTGCATCCTCCTGGCATTGCCACAGGAGCTGGGCAGAATTCCAGAACACACTGGGAATGATCCTTCAGCCCTCCCAGGAACCAGGGAATTCCAGTCAGCACTGGGGGCTCTTTGGGATCAGTTATTGGGTTAAATGGGAAAATAATCCCGGTGCCAAAAGGAGATCATTTATTTGGGATCAGTTATTGGGTTAAAAGGGAAAATAATCCGGGTGCCAAAAGGGGATCAGTTCTTTGGGGTCAGTTATTGGCATTGCCACAGGAGCTGGAATGGCCCCGGTGCCCTGGCATTGCCACAGGAGCTGGGATGGCCCTGGTGCCCTGGCATTGCTCATGGTGGAGTTGGCCATCATTGGCTTTTTTCCCATTTTTTCCCCTGTTTTTTACCCATTTTTTCCCGTTTTTTGCACCATTTTCCCCCGTTTTTCCCATTTTTGCCCATTTTTTGTCCCGTTTTTTCCCTTTTCTCCATTTCCATGTCTCTGGTTTTTGTCCCCCCAGGTGCCCCGGCTCATCCTGTGGCTCATGGTGGAGCTGGCCATCATTATCTTTTTCCCATTTTTTCCCCTGTTTTTTACCCATTTTTTCCCATTTTTTTGCCCCATTTTTCCCCGTTTTTCCCTTTTTTGTCCCGTTTTTTCCCTTTTCCCCATTTCCATGTCCCTGTTTTTTATCCCCTCAATTCCCTCGGATCATCCTGTGGCTCATGGTGGAGCTGGCCATCATTGGCTTTTTCCCATTTTTTCCCTTGTTTTTTACCCGCTTTTTTTCCCGTTTTTTGCCCCATTTTTCCCATTTTTTCCCATTTTTCCCTGTTTTTCCCCATTTCCCATCCCTGTTTTTTACCCCCCAGGTGCCCCGGCTCATCCTGTGGCTCATGGTGGAGTTGGCCATCATTGGCTTTTTTCCTATTTTTTCCCCTGTTTTTTACTCATTTTTTTTCCTTTTTTTTGCCCCATTTTTCCCATTTTTGCCCGTTTTTGTCCCGTTTTTTCCCTTTTTTTCCATTTCCATGTCTCTGGTTTTTGTCGCCCCAGGTGCCCCGGATCATCCTGTGGCTCATGGTGGAGTTGGCCATCATTGGCTTTTTCCCATTTTTTCCCTTGTTTTTTACCCGTTTTTTTCCCGTTTTTTTCCCGGTTTTTGCCCCATTTTTCCCTGTTTTTCCCCATTTCCATGTCCCTGTTTCTCCCCCCAGGTGCCCCGGATCATGCTGTGGCTCATGGTGGAGCTGGCCATCATCGGCTCGGACATGCAGGAGGTGATCGGCTCTGCCATCGCCATCAACCTGCTCTCGGTGGGCAAGTGAGTGTGGGCAGGGGCTCTCGTCTGTTTTACCATTTTACCTTTGATTTCATTTGTTTTTCCTTTTTTTGGTTTCTTTTACCTTTAATTGTTCCTTTGATTTAATTTCTTTCACCTTTTTTTGTGCCTTTGATTTCATTCCTTTTACCATGGTATCTTTGATTTGATTTCTTTTACTTTTGTTTATCCCTTTGATTTCATCTGTTTTACCTGTGATTTGATTTTTTTTTACCTTTGATTGTATCTTTGATTTATTTTACCTTTGTTTGTACCTGTGATTTGATTTCTTTTACCTTTGTATCTTTGATTTTATTTCTTTTGTCTTTGTACCTTTGATTGATTTGTTTTACCATTGAACCTCTGATTTGATTTCTTTTACCTTTTCTTGTACCTGTGATTTGATTTCTTTTACCTTTGTATCTTTGATTTCATTTGTTTTACCATTGTACCTTTGATTTAATTTCTTTTACCTTTTTATCTTTGATTTCATTTGTTTTACCATTGTACCTGTGATTTGATTTCTTTTACCTTTGTATCTTTGATTTTTTGTTTTATCTTTGATTGTATCTTTGATTTGATTTATTTTACCTTTGTTTGTACCCTTAATTTCATTTGTTTTATCTTTGTCTCTTTGATTTGATTTCTTTGACGTTTGTTTATACCTTTGATTTGATTTATTTACCTTTGATTTCATTTGTTTTGCCTTTGATTGTGTCTTTGATTTTATTTTTTTACCTTTGTTTGTACCTTTTTTATCATTTCTTTTACCTTTGATAGTACCTTTGGTTTGATTTCCTTTATCTTTGATTGTCTTTGATTTTATTTCTTTACCTTTGTTTCTGATTTGATTTCTTTTACCTTTGTATCTTTGATTTGATTTGTTTTACCATTGTACCTTTGATTTCATTTCTTTTACCTTTTTATCTTTGATTCCATTTATTTTACCTTTGATTTCATTTGTTTTACCTTTGATTGTCTTTGATTTCATTCCTTTTACCATTGTATCTTTGATTCGATTTCTTTTTCTTTTGTTTATACCTTTGATTTGATTTGTTTTATCTTTGATTGTATCTTTGATTTGATTTATTTTACCTTTGTTTGTACCCTTAATTTCATTTGTTTTATCTTTGTCTTTGGATTGATTTCTTTGACGTTTGTTTATACCTTTGATTTTTTTTCTTTTACCTTTGATTTCATTTGTTTTGCCTTTGATTGTGTCTTTGATTTTATTTGTTTTACCTTTGTTTGTACCTTTTTTATCATTTCTTTTACCTTTGATAGTACCTTTGGTTTGATTTCCTTTATCTTTGATTGTCTTTGATTTTATTTCTTTACCTTTGTTTGTACCCCTGATTTGATTTCTTTTACCTTTGTATCTTTGATTTGATTTGTTTTACCTTTGTTTGTCCCTTTGATTTCATTTGTTTTACCATTGTACCTTTGATTTGATTTCTTTTACCTTTTTATCTTTGATTTCATTTCTTTTACCATTGTACCTTTGATTTAATTTCTTTTATGTTTTTATCTTTGATTTGATTTGTTTTACCATAGTACCTTTGATTTGATTTCTTTTATGTTTTTATCTTTGATTTGATTTGTTTTACCATAGTACCTTTGATTTGATTTCTTTTACCTTTTTATATTTGATTCCATTTATTTTACCTTTGATTTCATTTGTTTTACCTTTGATAGTACCTTTGATTTGATTTGTTTAATCTTTGACTGCGTCTTTGATTTGATTTCTTTACCTTTGTTTATGTCTTTGATTTCATTTGTTTTATCTTTGTTTGTACCTTTGATTTGATTTCTTTTACCTTTGATTTGATTTCCTTTATCTTTGATTGTATCTTTGATTTTATTTCTTTACCTTTGTTTGTCCCTTTGATTTGATTTGTTTTACCATTGTACCTTTGATTTGATTTCTTTTACCTTTTTATATTTGATTCCATTTCTTTTACCTTTGATTTCATTTGTTTTACCTTTGATTGTGTCTTTGATTTCATTCCTTTTACCATTGTATCTTTGATTTGATTTCTTTTTCTTTTGTTTATACCTTTGATTTCATTTGTTTTACCTTTGATAGTACCTTTGATTTGATTTATCTTTGTGTCTTTGATTTGATTTCTTTACCTTTGTATCTTTGATTTCATTTGTTTTATCTTTGTTTGTACCTTTGATGTGATTTCTTTTACCTTTGATAGCACCTTTGATTTTATTTCTTTTACCTTTTTATTTCTTTTACCTTTTTTCTTTTACCGTTTTAAATTTGGTGCAATATTTTAAATTTGGTGCAATGCTTTAAATCTGGTGCAATATTTTAAATGTGCTGCGATGTTTCAAATTTGGTGCAATGCCTTAAATTTGCTGCAATGTTTCAATTTTGGTGCAGTGTTTTACATTTGATGCAATATTTTAAATTTGCTGCAATGTTTTAAATTTGGTGCAATATTTTAAATTTGCTGTAATATTTTAAATGTGGTGCAATGTTTCAAATTTGCTGCAATATTTTAAATTGGGTGAAATGCTTTAAATTTGCTGCAATGTTTTACATTTGGTACAACGCCTTAAATTTGGTGCAATCTTTTAATTCTGGTGCAATGTTTTACATTTGCAGCAATATTTTAAATCTGGTGCAATATTTTAAATTTGGTGCAACGTCTTAGATTTTCTGTGATGTTTTACATTTGCTGCAATGTTTTCAATTTCTTGCTGTATTTTCAATCTGTTGCAATGTTTTAAATTTGCTGCAATATTTTAAATTTGGTGCAATGTTTTAAATTTGCTGCAATGTTTTACATTTGATGCAATATTTTAAATTTGCTGCAATGTCTTAAATTTCCTGCAATATTTTAAATTTGCTGTAATATTTTAAATTTAGTGCAACATTTCAAATTTGGTGCAATGTTTCAAATTTGCTGCAGTATTTTAAATTTGCTGCAATGTTTTAAATTTGCTGCAATATTTTAACCCCCGATGAACAAGCAGCTCAGTAGTTTGGCCAGCGTGTGTCCAATCTCATTCTGAATATTTTCTTTTCTTGGAGCAGAGTGTTGCTCTGTCTCTTCATCCCTCACCTCCGTTCTCACTCTTTTCTTTTTCTTCTTTGGGCAAAAACGTTTTTGGGCCAAAAATACGAATCCCACGAATCTCGTTAATGCCAGGAACTTTTTGTGTGGAAATTAAGCACAAATTCAGTGTTTAATTGGGACACCCGGGGACAGATCCCACAGGGATGCACCTGGGAAGGGCTGGGGGTGACAGCAGCTCCTGAGGAACCCCCAGGCCGGCAGCTGCACCCCAAAAAGGCCCCAAAGAGGATTTGGGGGTTTGGGGCTCTGGGGGGGCTCTGACCCTGCTCTCACCCCACAGGATCCCCCTCTGGGGCGGGGTGCTCATCACCATCGCCGACACCTTCGTCTTCCTCTTCCTCGACAAATACGGTGAGTGCTGCTGGGGGTGGGGGTGGGGTGGGATTGGGATTGGGATGGGTTTGGGATTGGGATTGGGATGGGTTTGGGGTGGGATGGGTTTGGGGTGGGATGGGTTTGGGGTGGGATGGGTTTGGGACTGGGATGGGATTGGGATTGGGATGGGATTGGGACTGGGATGGGATTGGGATTGGGATTGGATTGGGATTGGGATGGGATTGGGATTGGGATGGGTTTGGGGTGGGATTGGGATTAGGTTTGAGGTTGGGATTGGGATGGGGTGAGTTTAGGATTGAGTTTGGGATTTGGATTGGGGTTGGGTTTGGGGTTGGGATTGGTTTGGAATTGGGGATGGGGTTGGGGTTGGGGTGGGATTGGGATGAGATTGGGATTGGTATCGAGGGAAATTGGGATGGGATGGGTTTGGGATTGGGATTGGAGTGGGTTTGGGATTGGGATTAGGATAGGTTTGAGATTAGGATTTGGATTGGGATTGGAGTTGGGATTGGAGGTGGGGTTGGGATTGGTTCGAGTTTGGGGTTGGGATTGGGTTTGGGGTTTGGGATGGGGATTGGGGTTGGGATTGGGATGAGATTGGAATTGGTATCGAGGGAGATTGGGATGGGATGGGTTTGGGATTGGGATTAGGATGGGTTTGAGATTAGGATTTGGATTGGGATTGGGGTTGGAATTGGGATGGGTTTGGAATTGGGATTGGAGTTGGGATTGGTTCGAGTTTGGGGTTGGGATTGGGTTTGGGGTTTGGGATGAGGATTGGGGTTGGGATTGGGATGAGATTGGAATTGGGTTTGGGATTAGGATTAGGTTTGGGATTGGGTTTGGAATGGGGTGGGTTTAGGATTGAGTTTGGGATTTGAATTGGGATTGGGGTTGGGGTTGGGTCTGGGATTGGGTTTGGGATTGGGATGGGATTGAGATTGAGATTGGGGTTGGGGTTGGGGTGGGTTTGGGATGGGATTAGGATGAGTTTGAGATTAGGATTTGGATTGCTATTGGAATTGGGATGGGTTTGGGATTGGGATTGATTGGGATGGTATTGGGGTTGGGATTGAGTTTGGGATTGAGATTGGGATGGGGTTGGGTTTAGGTTTGAGATTGAGATGGGGTTGGGATTGGGATGGGATTGGGGTGGGATTGGGATTGGAATTCAGATGGGTTTGGGTTTGGGTTTGGGATTGGGATTGAGATTGGGATGGGATCGAGACGGGGTTGGGATGGGATTGGGGATGGAATGGGATTGGGTTTGGGTTTGGGCTCTTCTCACCTTGGTGACAATGGGACTTCTCCTCCTTACAGGCCTGAGGAAGCTCGAGGCGTTTTTTGGGCTCCTCATCACCATCATGGCCCTGACCTTTGGATATGAGGTACCCCCCCTCTGGAGCACCCCAAAACTCCCCATTTCCCCATCCCTAACCCCAAAATTTCCTGTTTTCCTGACCCCAAAATTTCCTGTTTTCCTGCCCTCATAACGGCCTGTGTCTGACCCCAAAAGTCCCCGTTTTCCTGTTTCCCTGACCCCAAATCTTCCCATTTCCCTTGTCCCTGACCCCAAAACTCTCCGTTTCCCTGTGTCTGACCCCAAAACTCCCTGTTTTTGTTTCCCTGACCCCAAAACTCCGTGTTTCTGTTTCCCTGACCCCAAAACTCCCTTTTCCTTGTCCCTGGCCCCAAAACTCTCTGTTTCTGTTTCTCTGACCCCAAAATTCCGTTTCCCTGTGTCTGACCCCAAAACTCCCCATTTCCCCATCCCCAACCTCAAAACTCCCTGTTTCTGTTTCCCCAACCCCAAAACTCCCTGCTTCCCTGTCCCTGACCCCAAAATTCCCTGTTTCTGTTTCCCTGACCCCAAAAGTGCCTGTTTCCCTGTATCTGACCCCAAAACTCTCTTTTTCCCGATCCCTGACCCCAAAACTCCCTGTTTCAGTTTCCCTGACCCCAAAACTCCCTGTTTCCCTGTCCCTGACCCCAAAACTGCCTGTTTCTGTTTCCCTGATCCCAAAACTCCCTGTATCCCCATCCCTGACCCCAAAACTCCCTGTTTCTGTTTTCCTAACCCCAAAACTCCGTTTCCCTGTCCCTGACCCCAAAACTCCATTTCTGTTTCCCTGATCCCAAAACTCCCTGTTTCTGTTTCCCTGACCCCAAAACTCTGTGTTTCCCTGTGTCTGACCCCAAAACTCTGTGTTTCCCTATCTCCAAAATTCCCTGTTTCTCCGACCCCAAAACTCCCTTTCCCTATCCCTGACCCCATAACTCCCCATTTCCCTATCTCTGACCCCAAAACTCCCCATTTCCCCATCCCTGACCCCAAAACTCCCCATTTCCCTGTCCCTGACCCCAAAACTCGCCATTTCCCCATCCCTAACCCCAAAACTCCATTTCTCTGACCCCAAAACTCGCCATTTCCCCATCCCTAACCCCAAAACTCCGTCTCCCCGTGCCAGTACATCACGGTGAAGCCCAACCAGCAGAAGCTGCTGCAGGGTTTGTTCATCCCCTACTGCCAGGACTGTGGCACCCCCCAGCTGGAGCAGGCCGTGGGCATCGTGGGCGCCGTCATCATGCCCCACAACATGTACCTGCACTCTGCCCTGGTCAAGGTGAGCGTGCCAGGGGCACCTGGGGGCACCTGGGGGGCATGTGGGGCGATGGCTTGGTGTGAAAAGCCAGGTCTGTGCTGACGGAGCCTGCCCTGAAATGGAAAATGGAAATCCCTTCCCTCTGAGTTGTTATAATTTGAAATTAAGGGGGTCTCAGGTAAAGATATGGGAGCAGGAATAAGAGTTTGTCTTGGTTTGGGAAGAATGGTTGTGCTGAGGAGGGCAGGAGCCTGCCCTGAAAGGGAGAATGGAAACCCTCCCCTCATCCAAATTGCTATAAATTTTATATTAAAAGTGTGAGAGCAGGAATAACAGATTGTCTTGGTTTGGGAAGAATGGTTGTGCTGAGGAGGGCAGGAGCCTGCCCTGAAAGGGAGAATGGAAACCCTCCCCTCATCCAAATTGCTATAAATTTTATATTAAAAGTGTGAGAGCAGGAATAACAGATTGTCTTGGTTTGGGAAGAATGGTTGTGCTGAGGGAGCCTCCCCTGAAATGGAAAATGGAAATCCCTTCCCTCTGAATTGTTGTAAATTTGAAATTAAGGGGGTCTCAAGCAAACATGTGGGAGCAGGAAATAACAGTTGGTCTGGCTTTGGAAAGAGGTGTGTGCTAAAGAAGGCAGGAGCCTCCCCTGAAATGGAGAATGGAAACCCTCCCCTCATCTAAATTGCTATAAATTTTATATTAAAAATATGGGAGCAGGAATAACAGTTTGGCTCAGTTTGGAAAGCCAGGTGTGTGCTAAAGAAGGGAGGAGCCTGCCCTGAAATGGGAAATGTAAACCCTCCCTCTGAATTGTTATAATTTGAGATTAAGGAGATCTCAGGTAAAGATATGGGAGCAGGAATAACAGCTTGTCTCAGTTTGGAAAGTCAGGTGTGTGCTGAGGAGGCAGGAGCCATCCCCGGAATGGGAAATGGAAACCCTCTCCATCTGAATTGTTGTAAATTTAAAATTAAGGGCTCTCAGGCAAAAATGTGGGAGCAGGAATAAGGGTTTTTATTGGTTTGGATATGAGGTACCCCCTCTCAGGTGTGTGCTGAGGAAGGCAGGAGCCATCCCTGGAATGGAGAATGGAAACCCTCCCCTCATCGGAATTGCTATAAATTTTATATTAAAAATATGGGAGCCGGAATAACAGATTATTATAACTCTGAAATTAAGATTATTATAAAATTATTATAAATTATTATAAATCCAAATTATTATAAATCTGAAATTAAGGAGGTCTCAGGCAAAAATGTGGGAGCAGGAATAACAGTTTGTCTTGGTTAGAAAAGACAGGTGTGTGCTGAGGAGGGCAGGAACCTCCCCTAAAATGGAGAATGGAAACCCTCTCCCTCTGAATTGTTGTAAATTTGAAATTAAGGAGGTCTGAGGCAAAAATGTGGGAGCAGGAATAACAGTTTTTATTGGTTTGGATATGAGGTACCCCCTCTCAGGTGTGTGCTGAGGAAGGCAGGAGCCATCCCTGAAATGGAGAATGGAAACCCTCCCCTCATCTAAATTGCTATAAATTTTATATTAAAAATATGGGAGCAGGAATAACAGTTTGGCTCAGTTTGGAAAGAATGGTGTGTGCTGAGGAGGGCTGGAGCCTCCCCTGAAATGGAAAATGTAACCGCCTCCCTCTGAATTGTTACAATTTGAAATTAAGGAGGTCTCAGGTAAAGATATGGGAGCAGGAATAACAGCTTGTCTCAGTTTGGAAAGTCAGGTGTGTGCTGAGGAGGGCAGGAGCCTGCCCTGAAATGGAGAATGTAAACCCTCCCCTCATCAGAATTGCTATAAATTTTATATTAAAAATACGGGAGCCGGAGTAACAGATTGTCTTGGTTTGGAAAGAATGGTGTGTGCTAAGGATGGCAGGAACCTCCTCTGAAATGGAGAATGGAAACCCTCTCCCTCTGAATTGTTGTAAATTTGAAATTAAGGGCTCTCAGGCAAAAATGTGGGAGCAGGAATAACAGTTTGTCTTGGCTTGGAAAGAATGGTGTGTGCTGAGGAGGGCAGGAGCCTCCCCTGAAATGGAAAATAGAAACCCTCTCCCTCCAAATTATTATAAATCTGAAATTAAGGAGGTCTCAGGCAAAAATGTGGGAGCAGGAATAACCGTTTGTCTTGGTTAGAAAAGACAAGTGTGTGCTAAGGATGGCAGGAACCTCCTCTGAAATGGAAAATGTAAACCCCCTCCCTCTGAATTGTTGTAAATTTGAATTTAAGGGGCTCTCAGGTGTGGTGGCGTTCACAGGAGTCCCAGGAGGAGGGAAGAGATGAGAATCTTGACTCCATGTTCCAGAAGGTTGATTTATTATTTTATGATATAGATTATATTCAAAGAAAACGATATATTAAAACTACGCTAAAAGAATAAAAACAAAACAAAATTAAAAGAACCCACAAACAAACAAAAATAAAATAAACAATGCAGTGATACAAACCAACCCTGCCTTCTAAGGTGGCTGAGCTATCTTGGGTGTGTAGATCTCCAAAAGGTGATGAGACCTGGCTCAAGTAGATCCTTATGTCAGTGGAGTTTGGTTTTTATCCCCTCTTGCACCTAGCTTGGTTTTCTCTATAAAAAGCTTTGTTATTTTGCCTTTTCTTAAAACCTTTTTGTTTCCAGCACCACCACAGAAGCCATCCTGCTGATTTTGTGCCTTCTGAGGTGGCAGAGCTACCTTGGGTGTGTAGATCTCCAAGAGCTGATGAGACCTGGCTCAAGGAGACCCTTACACAGTAGAGTTTGGGTTTTTCCCCCTCTTGCCCAAACTCAGTTTTTCTCTATAAGGAGCTTTGTTATTTTGCCTTTCATTAAAACCTTTTTGTTTCCAGCACCACCACAGCAGCCACCCAGCTGATTTTATCCATCTGAGGTAGCTGAGCTCTCTTGATCTCCAGGAGCTTGTGAGACCTGGCTGAGGAGAGCCGTGTGTCCCTGTCCCTGTCCCTGTCCCCTCATGTCGCTGTCCCTGTCCCAGTCCCGGCAGGTGAACCGTGCGGACAAGAGGGAGGTCAGGGAGGCCAACAAGTATTTCTTCATCGAGTCCTGCATCGCGCTCTTCGTCTCCTTCATCATCAACATCTTCGTGGTCACCGTCTTCGCCGAGGCCTTCTTCGACAAGACCAACGCCAACGTGGTGGGTGGCACTGGGACAGACTGGGAGGGACTGGGATGGACTGGGATGGACTGGGAGGGACTGGGAGCTGCTATGGGATGGACTGGGATGGATTGGCACGGGCTGGGACGGACTGGCATGAATTGGGATGGGCTGAGAGGGACTGGGAGTGGGCTGAGATGGACTGGGACAGACTGGGATGGATTGGCATGGACTGGGACGGGCTGGGATGGGCTGAGAGGGACTGGGATGGACTGGGATGGACTGGGAGGGACTGGGATGGACTGGCATGGACTTGGAGCTGCTATGGGAGGGACTGGGATGGGCTGGGAGGGACTGGGAGGGGCTGGGATGGACTGAGAGGGACTGGGAGTGGGCTGAGATGGACTGGGACAGACTGGGATGGATTGGCACGGGCTGGGACGGGCTGGGATGGATTGGCATGGACTGGCATGGACTGGGAAGGACTGGGAGGGACTGGGATGGACTGGCATAGACTGGCATGGACTTGGAGCTGCTATGGGAGGGACTGGGATGGGCTGGGAGGGACTGGGATGGATTGGCACGGGCTGGGATGGACTGGCATGGATTGGCATGGACTGGGAAGGACTGGGAGCTGCAGTGGGATGGACTGGCATGGGCTGGGCCAGGCTGGGAGGGACTGGGACGGACTGGGAGCTGCTATGGGATGGACTGGGACGAACTGGGATGGACTGGCATGGATTGGGATAGATTGGGATGGACTGGCATGGACTGGCATGCACTGGGACAGACTGGCATGGATTGGCATGGACTGGGATGGACTGGCATGAACTGGCATGGACTGGGATGGATTGGCATGCACTGGGACAGACTGGCATGGACTGGCATGGGTTTAACAGCTGTGTGGAGGTGACACCTGGGGACATGGTCAGTGGTGGCCTTGGCAGGGCTGAGATCACTGCTGGCCCCAGTGCTCCCAGAGGGGTTTCCATGCCAGCCCTGTCCCTCATGCCACCCCTGTGTGCCCCTCAGAGCCAGGTCTGTGCCAACTCCAGCAGCCCCCACTCCTCGCTGTTCCCCAACAACACCGACACCCTGGAGGTGGACATCTACAAAGGGGTGAGTGTCCCTGGGGGACAGCCTGGGGACAGCTTGGGGACAGCCCTGGGACCCTGGCTGGGATCCCTGTGGGGACAGCTTGGGGACAGCCCTGGGACCCTGGGGGGACAGCCTGGGGACAGCTTGGGGACAGCCCTGGGACCCTGGCTGGGATCCCTGTGGGGCACAGTGACCCTGTCTGGTGTCCTCATGGGGTGACACCATGTCCAGGACAGTCCAGTGACCCTGTCTGGTGTTCCCAGGGTGACCCTGTCTGGTGTCCCCTGGTATCCCCAGTGACCCTGTCTGGTGTCCCCAGGGTGTCCCCAATGTCCCTGTCTGGTGTCCCAGTGACCCTGCCTGGTATCTCCAGGATGTCCCCAGTGTCCTTGTCTGGTGTCCCCTGGTATCCCCGGTGTCCCTGTCTGGTGTCCCCAGGGTGTCCCAGTGTCCCTGCCTGGTGTCCCAGGGTGTCCCCAGTGTCCCTGTCTGGTGTCCCCAGGTGTCCCAGTGTCCCTGCCTGGTGTCCCAGGGTGTCCCCAGTGTCCCTGTCTGTTGTCCCCAATGTCCCTGCCTGGTGTCCCCCGCAGCTCCTGCACAAGCCGGGCACCCTGTCACCCTTACCGGGCTCCCCAAGGGCAGGGTGGGGGTGGGGAGCCCCCAGGGGTTCCCCGCTTTTACTCCTGGGTGTAAGTGCCCCCCCCGGGCTGACAGAGCCGCCCCTCCCCCGCAGGGCGTGGTCCTGGGCTGCTACTTCGGCCCCGCCGCGCTCTACATCTGGGCCATCGGCATCCTGGCGGCCGGGCAGAGCTCCACCATGACGGGCACCTACTCGGGCCAGTTCGTCATGGAGGTAACGCGCTACTCGCTCCTTACTCGTGCCTTACTCGCTCCTTACTCATGCCTTACTCGCCCCTTATGCACTCTTTACTCACTCCGTACTCTGGGTTCCGTACTCCTTGCTCCTTGTCATCCTTGTTCTGTACTCCATAGTCCTTACTCACTCCTTACTCGTGCCTTACTCGCTCCTTACTCATGCCTTACTCGCTCCCTATGCACTCCTTACTCACTCCGTACTCTGGGTTCCGTACTCCTTGCTCCTTGTTGTCCTTATTCTGTACTCCATAGTCCTTACTCACTCTTTACTTGTGCCTTACTCGCTCCTTACTCATGCCTTACTCGCTCCTTATGCACTTCTTACTCCTTACTCTGGGTTCCGTACTCCTTGCTCCTTGTTGTCCTTATTCTGTACTCCATAGTCCTTACTCACTCTTTACTCTGGGTTCCATACTCCTTACTTCCTGTTGTCCTTATTCCTTACTCCACGCTCCTTACTCCCTCCTTAGGAGGTAACACAGGTCCTCCTCCCTCCTTACTCCCTCCTTACTCTGGGTTCTGTACTCCTTGCTCCCTGGCATCCTTCTTCCTTACTCCATGCTCGTCACTCCTTACTCCCCCCTTAGAAGGTAACGCAGCTCCTCCTCCCTCCTTACTCACACCTTACTCCCTCCTTGCTCCTCTGCAGGGGTTCCTGAACCTGCGCTGGTCGCGCTTTGCGCGGGTGCTGCTCACACCTTACTCACACCTTACTCACACTTTACTCCCTGGTTACTCCCCGCAGGGGTTCCTGAACCTGCGCTGGTCGCGCTTTGCGCGGGTGCTGCTCACACCTTACTCACACCTTACTCACACTTTACTCCCTGGTTACTCCCCGCAGGGGTTCCTGAACCTGCGCTGGTCGCGCTTTGCGCGGGTGCTGCTCACACCTTACTCACACCTTACTCACACTTTACTCCCTGGTTACTCCCCGCAGGGGTTCCTGAACCTGCGCTGGTCGCGCTTTGCGCGGGTGCTGCTCACACCTTACTCACACCTTACTCACACCTTACTCACACTTTTCTCCCTGGTTACTCCCCGCAGGGGTTCCTGAACCTGCGCTGGTCGCGCTTTGCGCGGGTGCTGCTCACGCGCTCCATCGCCATCACCCCCACGCTGTTCGTGGCCATCTTCCAGGACGTGGAGCACCTGACGGGCATGAACGACTTCCTGAACGTCCTCATGAGCCTCCAGGTGAGCAGAATTGGGGTTCAGGGGCTCCTGAACGTCCTCATGAGCCTCCAGGTGAGCAGAATTGGGGTTCAGGGGCTCCTCAACGTCCTCAGGAGCCTCCAGGTGAGCAGGGTTGGGGTTCATGAACCTCATGAGCCTCCAGGTGAGCAAAATCAGGGTTCCTGAATGTCCTCATGGGCCTCCAGGTGAGCGGACTTGGTGTTCAGGGGCTTCAGGTGAGCGGGGTCAGGGTTTCTGAGCCTCCAGGTGAGCGAGATTTGGGTTCATGAACCTCAGGAGCCTCCAGGTGAGCAGGGTTGGGGTTCAGGGGCTCCAGGTGAGCAGGGTTGGGGTTCAGGGGTTCCTCAACGTCCTCAGGAGCCTCCAGGTGAGCGGGGTTGGGGTTCCTGAGCCTTCAGGTGAGCGGGGTCAGGGTTCCTCAATGTCCTCAGGAACCTCCAGGTGAGCAGAGTTGGGGTTCAGGAGCTCCAGGTGAGCAGGGTTGGCGTTCAGGAGCTCCAGGTGAGCGGGGCCCATGGGTGGGCTGGGGTGGGTGCTGAGTTGGGTGTTGAGATGGATGTTGGGTGGGTGTTGGGTGGGTGTTGGGGTGTTGGGTGGGTGTTGGGGTGTCAGGTGGGTGTCAAGTGGGTGTTGGGTGGGTGTTGGGGGTGTTGGGTGTTGGGGTGTTGGGATGGGTGTCAGGTGGGTGTTGGGGGTGTCGGGTGGGTGTTGGGGGTGTTGGGTGTTGGGGGTGTCAGGTGGGTGTCAGGTGGGTGTTGGGGTGTCAGGTGGGTGTTGGGGTGTCAGGTGGGTGTCAGGTGGGTGTTGGGGTGTTGGGTGTTGGGGTGTTGGGGTGTCAGGTGGGTGTCAGGTGGGTGTTGGGTGTTGGGGTGGGTGTTGGGGTGTCAGGTGGGTGTCAGGTGGGTGTTGGGGTGTCAGGTGGGTGTTGGGGTCCCTCCCCCCAGCCCCAGCCGGGTCAGGTCCATCCCCTCCCCCCGCTCCGTTCCCAGCTCCCATTCGCGCTGATCCCGGTGCTCACCTTCACCAGCCTGCCCAGCGTCATGCACGACTTCGCCAACGGCCTGTGAGTACCTGGGCACGCCTGGCACACCTGCCCCTCACCTGGGCACACCTGCCCCTCAGCTGGGCACGCCTGGCACACCTGCCCCTCACCTGGGCACACCTGCCCCTCACCTGGGCACGCCTGGGCATGCCTGCCCCTCACCTGGGCACGCTTGGGCACGCCTCGGCACGCCTGCCCCCTCACCTGGGCATGCCTGGGCACACCTGGGCTCACCTGGGCACACCTGCCACTCACCTGGGCATGCCTGAGCATTCCTGTCCCTCACCTGGGCACACCTGGGCATGCCTGGGCACACCTGGGCATGCTTTCCCTTCACCTGGGCACGCCCTCCCTTCACCTGGGCACACCTGGGCATGTTTTCCCCTTGTCTGGGCACACCTGGGCACCCCTGGCCCTCACCTGGGTACACCTGGGCACACCTGGGAACACCTGCCCTTCACCTGGGCATGCCTGGGCACACCTGGGCATGCCTGACCCTCACCTGGGCACACCTGGGCATGCCTGGGCACACCTGCCCTTCACCTGGGCACACCTGTCCCCTCACCTGGGCACACCTGGGCACACCTGGCACACCTGGGCTCACCCTCCCCTCACCTGGGCACACCTGAGCACACTCGCCCCTCACCCGGTGCATCTCCACGCCTGGGTACATCTAGGCACGACTTCCCCTCACCTGGGCACACCTGGGCCTGTCTGGGCACCTCTTCCTCTCACCTGGGCACCCCTGTGCCCCCCTGCCCCCCCTGCTGACCCCGGTGTGCCCGGTGCAGGTTCTGGCGCGTGGCCGGGGGGCTGCTGATCCTGCTCATCTGCGGCATCAACATGTACTTCGTGGTGGCGTATGTGATGGCGCTGCACAGCCTGGCACTGTACATCGGGGCCGCCCTGCTCAGCGTCCTCTACCTGGCATTCGTGGCCTACCTGGTGAGTCACCGCCCGGGCACGGCCTGGGCACGGCCTGGGCACAGCTGGGGACAGCTGGGGACAGCCTGGATATGGCCTGGGCACAGCTGGGGACAGCCTGGGCATGGCCTGGGCACAGCTGGGGACAGCCTGGGCACCCCTGGGCTTCACCTGGGTACCTTCTGGGGACAGCCTGGGCACCACCTGGGGACAGCCTGGACACCACCAGGCACCACCTGGGAACAACCTGGGCACCCCCTGGGCACCCCTGGGCTTCACCTGGGTACCTTCTGGGGACAACCTGGGTATTGCCTGGGCACCTCCTGGGTACCCCCTAGGCACCACCTGGGCACCACCAGGGCACCCCTGGGCACCCATTGGGCTTCACCTGGGGACAGCCTGGGCACCCCCTGGGCATCCCTGCCCTCACCTGGGCATCACCCGGGCACCGCCGGGGCATTGCCTGGGAACCACCTGGGCCCCCCCCTGGGCACCCACCTGGGGACAACCTGGGCATGGCCTGGGCACAGCTGGGCACCCCTGGGAACCCCTGGGCACCCTCTGGGCACACCTGGGCACTGCCTGGGCACCACCTGTGTGCGACCCTTGGGACTGTCCCCTCCCTGCTCAGCTCCATGTCACTGTCACCTGTGTGTGACACCTGGGACTGTCCCCTCATCTCCATGTCACCTGTGTGTTACTCTTGGGACTGTCCCCTCATCTCCATGTCACCTGTGTGTGACACCTGGGACTGTCCCCCCAGCTCCTGGCACCTCTGTGTGTGACCCCTGGGATTGTCCCCTCCCCGCTCAGCTCCATGTCACTGTCACCTGTGTTACTCTTGGGACTGTCCCCTCATCTCCGTGTTACCTGTGTGCGACCCTTGGGACTGTCCCCTGCCTTCTCAGCTCTGTCATGTGTGTGTGACCCCTGGGATTGTCCCCTCCCCGCTCAGCTCCATGTCACTGTCACCTGTGTTACTCTTGGGACTGTCCCCTCATCTCCGTGTCACCTGTGTGTGACACCTGGGACTGTCCCCTCATCTCCGTGTCACCTGTGTGCGACCCTTGGGACTGTCCCCTCATCTCCGTGTCACCTGTGTGTGACACCTGGGACTGTCCCCTGCTCCTCCCCACCCTGCCCTTTGCCCTCAGCTCCTTGGGTGGCACCTGGGGGCTGATCCCTCTAATGTACAACCTCCTTTTAATGTTTCATTCTTCGGGAATTTAGGGCGTTTTCCCCATTTCTGAGGTGTTTGAGAGGTTCAGACTCCCCAGAACACCTGATCCCAAAGATTCCCCTCTAATGTATATCCCTCCCTTTTCATTTTTCATTATTATGGGATTTAGGGGTTTTTTCCCCATTTCTGAGGTGCTTGAGAGGTTCAGACTCCCCAGAACACAGGATCCCAAAGATTCCCCTCTAATTTATGACCCTCCCTTTTAATTTTTCATTATTATGGAATTTAGGAGTTTCCCCATTTCTGAGGTACCTGAGAGGTTCAGACTTCCCAGAACATCTGATCCCAAAGATTCCCCTTTAATGTATATCCCTGCCCTTTAAATTTTAATTCTTATGGGATTTAGGGGTTTTTTCCCATTTCTGAGGTGCTTGAGAGGTTCAGACTTCCCAGAACACCTGATCCCAAAGATTCCCTCTAATGGATAACCCTGCCCTTTAAATTTTAATTCTTATGGGATTTAGGGTTTTTTTTTCCCCATTTCTGAGGTGCTTGAGAGGTTCAGACTCCCTGATACACCTGATACCAAACATTCCCCTCTATTGTACAACCCTCTCTTTAAATTTTAATTCTTATGGGATTTAGGGGTTTTTTTCCCATTTCTGAGGTGCTTGAGAGGTTCAGACTCCCAAGAACACAGGATCCCAAAGATGCCCCTCTAATGTACAACCCTCTCTTTAATTCTTTTAATTCTTATGGAATTTAGGGGTTTTTTCTTCCCCATTGTTTCTTTCATCTCTCAATGTCTAATTTCATTTATCAGACATTTTATTTCAATGTGAAATTTTCATTTACCAGCAAACCTAAAGTTTATTTGTAAAAGCAAATCTCGTTTTCCATTCGTCAATCAGTGGAATCCTTCCCATGGTTTCTTTCATCTCCCAGTTTTATCTCCCAACACACCCAGAGCTGGTTTGGAAACACAAATCTGATTTTTCTCTCAGTCCCCCCTGTGGTGGGTTCACAGGAGGAGGGAAGAGATGAGAATCTTGACTCCATGTCTCAAAAGGCTGATTTATTCTTTTATGATATATATTATATTAAAATATAAAATATTATATATTATATATATTATTATTCTATATAAAAATGATCTATTAAACCTATACTAAAAGAATAGAGAAAGGATTTCATCAGAAGGCAGGAAAGGAAAGGAAAGGAAAGGAAAGGAAAGGAAAGGAAAGGAAAGGAATAAAATAAAATAAAATAAAATAAAATAAAATAAAATAAAATAAAATAAAATCTTGTGACTGACCAGAGAGTCCGAGCCAGCTGACTGTGATTGGCCATTAATTAAAAACAATTAACATGAGCCAATCCCAGATGCTCCTGTTGCATTCCACAGCAGCAGATAATCAATGTTTGCATTTTGTTCCCGAGGCCTCTCAGCTTCTCAGGAGGAAAAATCCCAAGGAAAGGAATTTTCATAAAATGTGTCTGTGACACCCCCCTGCTGTCCCCTCCTGTCCCCTCGTGTCCCTCACTGTCCCCTCCCGTCCCCTCCTGTCCCTCACTGTCCCCTCCTGTCCCTCCTATCCCTGCTGTCCCCTCATGTCCCCTCCCGCCCTCTCCTGTCCCTCCTGTCCCCTCACTGTCCGTGATTGTCCCGTCCTGTCCCCGCTGTCCCTGACTGTCCCCTCTCTGTCCCTTCTGTCCCCTCACTGTCCCGCTGTCCCCTCCTGTCCCCTCTTGTCCCTGTCAGTCCCCTCCTGTCCCTCCTGTCCCCTCCTGTCCCCAGTGTCTCCTGCTGTTCCTGAGTGTCCCTGACTGTCCCCTCGTGTCCCCGCAGAGCTGGCTGTGCCTGGTGGCCCTGGGCGCCTCCTTCCTGGCCTGCGGCAGCACGGTAAGCGTCACCCGGACCCTGCACCTGGAGCAGCCGCCCTGCCACCCCCCCAAGTAGCCAAAGAGGGGGGACCGGACCCCCAGAGCCACCCTGGGGACACGGACGGAGCCGCTTGGGGACATTCGGGGCATCGGGGACACGGCCACGAGGACACGGAGCACACGGAGCCCTCGGGGCAGGGCTGGCCCTGCTGCACCCCAAAACATCCCTGGGGGGGTGGGGACACACCTGGGGGGGACAGGAGCAACCTGAGTCACACCTGGGGGGACACACCTGCGTGGGGACACATCTGGGGGTGACACAGGAGCAACCTGAGCCACACCTGGGTGGGGACACACCTGGGGGTGACACAGGGAACAGCCTGAGCCCCCCCGGATGGGAGCCACACCTGGGGGGTCACACCTGGAGGGGACAGGAGCAGCCTGGGTCACACCTGGGGGGGACACAACCAGCCCTGAGCCCCCCCTGGATGGGACACATGGAACAGCCTGAGCCCCCCCGGATGGGAGCCACACCTGGGGGGTCACACCTGGGGGTGGCAGGAGCAGCCTGGGTCACACCTGCGGGGGTGGGGACACACCTGGGGGTGGCAGGAGCAGCCTGGGTCACACCTGCGGGGGTGGGGACACACCTGGGGGTGGCAGGAGCAGCCTGACCCCCCCTGGATGGGCCAGGAGCAGCCTGAGCCCCCCCCGTTCTCCCTGGAACCCCAAATTCCTCCTCCCAGCGCCCCTGACCCCCCCGTAGCACCAACCCCGAACTCCAGGAACTGCTCTGGAACTCAATAAGCTAAAAAAGCCCAAAGTCCCCAAAATCCCCTCCTGGTGGCACTTGGGGACGCTGCTGGCACCAGGGGTGGCACCACGGCTGGGCTGCCCCGGGCTGAGCAGATCCGGTACTTTCCACTGGCATTAATTATTTTATTAATTAATTCTGGTATCACTACTGGCTTTAAAACACTTCCCATTGCCATGAGGAAGGGAAAGCTGAAAATTAATTAATTAATCAATTATTTAATTAATTCTGGTATCACTACTGGCTTTTAAAACACTTCCCACTCCCATGAGCATGGGAAAACTGAGCATTAATTATTTTATTAATTAATTCAATTATCACTACTGACTCTAAAACTCTTCCCATTGCCATGAGCATGGGAAAGCTGAAAGCTAATGAATTAATTAAATAAATAATTATTTATTTAATTAATTCTGGTATCACTACTGGCTTTTAAACACTTCCCAGTGCTATGAGGATGGGACAGCTGAGCATTAATTATTTTATTAATTAATTCTGGTATCACTAGTGGCTTTAAAACACTTCCCACTCCCATGAGCATGGGAAAACTGAGCATTAATTATTTTATTAATTAGTTCTGGTATCACTAGTGGCTTTAAAACACTTCCCACTCCATGAGCATGGGAAAACTGAGCATTAATTATTTTATTAATTAATTCTGGTATCACTAGTGGCTTTAAAACACTTCCACTGCCATGAGCATGGGAAAACGAAAAACTAATTAATTAATTATTAATTAATTCTGGTATCACTGCTGGCTTTTAAAATACTTCCCGTTGCCATGAGAATGTGAAAGCTGAGCATTAATTATGTAATTAATTAATTCTGTTATCACTGCTGGCTTTTAAAACATTTCCCACTCTCATGAGGATGGGAAAAGGTGAGCATTAATTATTTTATTAATTAATTCTGACGTCATTACTGACTTCAAAACGCTTCCCATTTTCCAATGAGCATGGGAAAGCTGAGCGTTAATTATTTAATTAATTAATTCTGGTATCACTACCGACTTTCCTGGCCCCGTGGGGGATTTTGGGGTCACAAATGGTTATTTATGATTTTGTGATTGATTCTCTGTGATCCACGGAAATGCCCTTGGAGCTCTCAGGGATAACTCAGATCAGGCTCCGAGGCTTTTCCAGGTTTTTCTTTGCTGCTCCCTCCTGTCCTGGCTTTGCTTCCCTCCCCTCGTCCCCTTTTTGTGGGTTTGGGAAGGGGCTGGGCCAGGAGTGGCGCCTGAGTGGGGCCAGGGCACCCCTTGGGTCCCCCGGGGCTGTTTTGGGGTGCCATCCTCCCTCTGGGGGTGCATTTGGATCTCTGAATCATGGAGATCGGGTGGGGAAAGCTCAGATTGGGGTTTCTTTAGGGGAAATTCCCTTTTCTGCCCAGCTGGAGCTGCAGCAGAGCTCAGTGGGGTCAGACCCCAAAGTGCTTCATGGACCTGCAGGATGGGGCCCCAAAACCTCTCCTGGGGCCCCAAAACCTCTCATGGGGCCCCAAAACCTCTCATAGGGCCCCAAAACCTCTCATGGGGCCCCCAAAACCTCTCCTGGGGCTCCAAAACCTCTCATGGGGTTCCAAAACCTCTCATGGGGCCCCAAAACCTCTCCTGGAGCCCCAAACCCCTCCTGGGGCCAGGGCAGGGGGCTCCAGCCTGGCTCCAATCCCAAATGAACCCAGAGAGTTCCAATCCCAAATAAACCCAGCCCTATCTCCTGGCTCCATCCCAATCCTGCTTTATTTGGATTCCTGGCTCCATCCAGCCCTGGATTATTTGGGATTCCTGAGTCCATCCTGGTTTATTTGGGATTCCTGAGTCCATTTTTGGTTTATTTGGGATTCCCGAGTCCATCCCTGTTTTATTTGGGATTCCTGGCTCCATCCCAGCCCTGGTTTATTTGAGATTGCTGTCTCCATCCCAGTCCTATTTTATTTGGGATTCTTGAGTCCATCCCTGGTTTATTTGGGATTCCTGAGTCCATTTCTGGTTTATTTGGGATTCCTGGCTCCATCCCTGTTTTATTTGGGATTCCTGGCTCCATCCCTGCTTTATTTGGGATAATAAAACGGATCCATCCCTCACTGCCCACTGGCATTTCCCTGCTCTCCCAGCTCCAGGCAGGGAATTCGGTCTGAAATAAAATCCCTGCAGTGCCCAGCTCTGGGGAGGGTTTGGGATCTGATTTGGGATCTGGGAGGGTTTTATCCATCCCTCATCCATCCCTCATCCATCCCCACCAGCTCTGGGGAGGGTTTTGGGATTTGGGATCTGCTTTGGGATCTGCTCAGGGGAATTTCCATGTCCTGTCCCAGCCCTGGAGCAGTCAGGGCAGCCCCTCCTGCTCTGAAATAAAATCCCTGCAGTGCCCAGCTCTGGGGAAGGTTTGGGATTTGGGATCTGCTGGGGTTTATCCATCCCCACCAGCTCTGGGGACTCTTTGGCATCTGGTTTGGGATCTGCTTTGGGATCTGGTTTGGGATCTGCTCAGGGAATTCCTTCCCTTCCATGAGCAAACCCAGTTCCTGTCCCAGCACTGGAGCTCCTGTGGGTTTTCTCTGAAATAAAATCCCTGCAGTGTCCAGCTCTGGGCACTCTTTGGGATCTGGTTTAGGGTCTGGTTTAGGATCTGCTGGTTGGTTTAGGGTCTGGTGAGGTTTTCTCCATCCCCACCAGCTCTGGGCAATGTTTTGGGATCTGGTTTAGGATCTGGTTTAGGATCTGCTGGGGGTTTATCCATCCCCCACCAGCTCTGGGGATTCTTTGGGATCTGGTTTGGGATCTGGTTTGGGATCTGCTGGGGGTTTCTCCATCCCCACCAGCTCTGGGCAGCGTTTGGGATCTGGTTTGGGATCTGGTTTGGGATCTCTGGGGTTTCTCCATCCCCACCAGCTCTGGGTCCTTCCCTGGTGCCCAGGGGTGAAGGTGCCAACGCTCAGAGCCCGGCAGGAAAATTCCCCTTGAATTTGGGGCAGGATCAGATCCCTCCTCCCCCCCTTCCCCAAACCCACAGCACTCCCTGACCATAATTCTCATTTTTCCCGTCGTTATCCCAGAACTCCAGCAGGATTTAACCCTTTAATGGACATTTGTGGGTTTTATCCCATTCCCACTCCACGAGCTCTGGGATTTGTGGCCTGGGGGGGACGAGGGGCTGGACCAGGGGTGGATTTGGGATTTGGGATTCTGCTGTACCTCCACCCTGGGTTGGGAATTCTGGCTTGGGAGGGCCCAGCCGAGCCCTGGCTGTGAGTGGAGCCTCCCCTCTGCACTAATTTGGGATTTTTGGTTGTACAAACCCCATTAAAACGTGGAGAACTTTTCCAACTCGGCTTCCTTGGGTCATTTTTTGGGGCTGGTGCTGGGACAGAGCCCCCCACGCTCTGGAGCTCTGGGGTTGTTCCCTTTTCCCAGCCTGGGAACGAAACTCGAGATCATTTTAGTTCTGACTTCAAATAAAAAATGGATTTTACTTCAAATAAAAGTGGATTTTACTTCAAGGCCTTTGGGGACAGTAATGGAAAGGTGCCCACAAAATTCCACCCCCACAGGGGTGAGGACATTTTTATTGATTTTAGGAATGAAATAATTAATAAAAGCACAATTAGGAGGAGAGGTGTTGATGGAATTCTCTCTCCTTTGGAATCCTCCCTTGGCTCCTCCAGGAGCTGATCCTGGGCCTTGGAGCTCTGGGATTTTTGTGTTTCTGCCCAGGGAAAGGCCATGGAAAAAAAACACTGGAAAATGAATTATTAATGGAACAGGCCAATAACACAGAGCCACAAACACACCTGCAAAAAGTACAGGCAAAAAATACAGGAGGGGAAAAATACAAAAAGAGGGAAAAAAGGGAAAATTCAGAATGGATCAGGGGGAGCTGGGGCTCGTCCCTGTCCCCTGAACGGGCTCAGGGGTCCCTCACATCCCTTCCCGTGGGAATTCCTTCTGTGGGATCGGGGCTCGGCTCCTTCATCCCGCCCTGCCCAGGCCAGACCCACCAAAAACCCCAAATTCCCCATTTTTTCCTGCTTTTTGCCCCATTTTTCCTGCTTTTTTGCCCGTTTTTTCCTGCTTTTTGCCCCATTTTTCCTGCTTTTTGCCCATTTTTTCCTGCTTCTGCCGCTGCAGAGCCTCGCCTGTGCTCAGCCCGGTTCAGCCCCATCCCGAGGGGTTCATTGTGTCATCACTGCTAATTAGGGCTCAGCCACGCCCCGAAGTTAATTAAGCTCGCTCGGTTAATTGGGAATGCAAAGGGCGGGGGCCGTTCGGAGCCCTGGGCGGGGCTGGGCCGAGATCTGCCCCAATTAACAGCGGGATCGGCCCCAATTAGCGCCGATCCTGCTGCTCTCTGCTAATTAATGAGCGCGGGTGACCCGTGGGGCCGCCTCGGCTCCCGCCCGGTCTGGTTAAACCGGGCTTGGTTAAACTGGGCCTGGTTAAACTGGGCTTGGTTAAACTGGGCTTGGTTAAACCGGGCCCAACTGGGGCTTCCTTAAACCGGGATCATTTAAAGCCTGCCCTGCTCAGGCTCATTAAATTGGGCTCACATCGGCTTCATTAAACCAGGCTTAATTCAGGCGTTGTTAAACCCGCCTCAATTTAAGCTTCATTAAACCCACCTCAACTTGGGCTTTGTTAAACCAGGCTCAGTTCGGGCTTCATTAAATTGTGGCTTTGTTAAACCAGGCTCAGTTTGGGCTTCATTAAATCGTGGCTTTGTTAACCCGGCCTCCATTCTGTCTTCCTTACCTGGGCTTCACTTGGGCTTTGTTAAACCGGGCTGAGCTCGGGCTTCCTTCAACCACCTCGGGCTTCCTTCTGCTCTCTTTGGCTCTTCCTTAAGCCAGGCTTAATTAAACCCCCGGCATTCATGGTTGCCTTCCCCAGTTAATCCCCAGCATTAATTGTTGCCCTCCCCAATTAACCCCCGGCATTAATGGTTGCCCTCCCCAATTAATCCCCGGCATTAATTGTTGCCTTCCCCAATTAACCCCCGGCATTAATGGTTGCCTTCCCCCAATTAACCCCCGGCATTAATTGTTGCCTTCCCCCCCCAGGGCCGCCTGGGCTTCGCCGCCCGCCCCGAGCTCTTCCTCCTCGGCCACGTCGGTTCCGACCCGTCCGTGCCCCAGGTGACCCCGGAGCCCGCGGACCCCCGGGACCCCCAGGACCCCCCGGTGTGGGGGGACGGACCCCCGGGACCCCCCCAGGACCCCGAGCCCCGGGCGGGCGGCGGAGCGGAGTGGGACAGCGGGAGCAGGAGGACACCTGGGGACACCTGAGCCAGCTTTGGGGACACCCAGGACAGACTTGGGGACACCCGGGCCGGCTTTGGGGACACTTCAGCCAGACTTGGGGACACTCAGACCAGCTCTGGGGACATCTGAGCCAGCCTTGAGGACAACTGGGCCACTCCTGGGGACACCTGGGACAGCCCTCGGACACCGGGCCGGCTTTGGGGACACCTGGGATGGTCTTGGGGACACCTGAGCCAGCCATGGGGGCACCTGGGCCAGCCTTGGGGACACTCAGACCGGCCTTGGGGACACCCAGGCCAGCCTTGGGGACACTTGGGCCAGCTCTGGGGACACTGGGCTGGTCTTGGGGACACCCGAGCCAGTCCTGGGGGTTTTCCCTGATTCAGGAATTTTCCATTTGGGATTTCCCAGATTTTCACTCAGGTCACTCCAGCAGGATTTTGCTCCTCGGGGGTTTTTTTCCCTAACTGGGGAATGTTCCAGTTGGGATTTCCCAATAAAATTAAAGCCAGGTTTAACTCCCAAGAAAATGAAAGCCAGGTTTAGTTCCCAAGAAAAGCCAGGACTTTGCTCCTTGGGTTAATTCGGGAATTCTCCATTTGGGATTTCCTGGATTTCCACTCCAGTCATTTCAGCAGGACTTTGCTCTTTGGGGTTTTCCCTAATTTGGGAGTGTTCCAATTGGGATTTCCCAATAAAATTAAAGCCAGGTTTAATTCCCAAGAAAAGCCAGGTTTGCTGCCAGGCTCAGCTTTGGGGACAGAGGCGTTCCCAGCGTTTCCAGCAGTTCTGGGGTTTTCCAGAACCCCAAATCCCCCCTCAGGGAGGTTCGAGGGCAGCAGCTCCCATAAAACCCAGCAGGATTCCCACCGGGAATTTCCCTCTCTGCAGCTTTCAGATTAGAAATGAAAAATTGAGAAATAAAAATGGTTTTAGAAATAAAACTTTGGCTGCCCAGGAATTTTCCCCTTTTCCCAGGAATTCCATCAATTCCCGGTTCCCCATCCCCCAAACACCGGGGGTGGCTCCAGGGTGGGGCCGGGTCCCTTTGGGGTTCGCTGGGATTGAGTTTGGGGGACCCCAAAACCCCATTTGGGAGGGGGTCACGGTACTGGGGGCTGGGCTGGGGGGTTTGGGGTCACGGTGCTGGGGATTTGGGGGGGGAGGGGCACTGGGGGTTGGGGTGGTGGCACTTGGGGGTTTGGGATCATGGCACTGGGGGTTTGGGGTCACAGCACTGGGACATTTGGGGTCACAGTACTGGGAGCTCTGGGCTGGTGGCACTGGGGGATTTGGGATTACGGCACTCCGGGAGGATTTAGGGTCACAGCACTGGGAGATTTGGGGTCACAGTACTGGGAGCTCTGGGGGATTTGGGATTTCAGCAGTGGGGATTTGGGGTGGTGGCACTGGGGGGTTTGGGGTGGTGGCACTTGGGGGTTTGGGATCATGGCACTGGGGGTTTGGGGTCACAGCACTCTGGAAGGATTTAGGGTCACAGCACTGGGAGATTGGGGTCACAGTACTGGGAGCTCTGGGGGGATTTGGATTTCGGCAGTAGGGATTTGGGGGTGGTGGCACTGGGGGGCTTGGGATCATGGCACTGGGGGTTTGGGGTCACACACTGGGGGGGGGGGCTGGGGTATGGCACTGGGGGGATTTGGGGTGGCCCCACTGGGGGGGGTTTGGGGGATTTGAGGTGGTGGTCCCACGGATGTGGGGAGGCTGGGGTGGTGACACTGAGGGGTTTGGGATGGTGCCGCCAGGGGGTCTGAGGTCACGGCACTGGGGGATTTGGGTTGTGGCACTGGGGACTTGTGGCCACAGACTGGGGGATTTGGGGTGGCCCCACTGGAGGGTTTGGGGTCACGACACAGGCAGGGTCTGGGGTGGTGGCACTGGGGGATGTGGGGTGGTGGCACTGGGGGTTTGGGGTGGCTCCACTGGGGGGTTTGGGGTCACAGAACTGGGAAGGATTTGGACTGGTGGCATGGGTGGGTTTGCCGGCACTGCGGGGTTTGGGGTCACACACTGGGGGATTTGGGGTGGTGGCACTGGGAGGTTTAGGTGGTCCCACTGGGGGGTTTGGGATCATGGCACATGGGGGGTCTGGGGTCACAGCACTGGGGGGGTTTGGTGGCACTGGGGGATTTGAGGTCACAGCACTGGGGGATTTGGGGTCACACACTGGGGGATTTGGGATGGCAGCACTGGGGATTTGGGGTGGTGGCACTGGGGGACTTGGGGAGGGCAGCGCTGGGGGGTTTGGGGTCATGGCACCGGGGGGTTTGGGGGATTTGGGGTGGTGGCACTGGGGGGTTTGGGATCATGGTACTGGAGGATTCGGGGTGACGGCACCGGGGGGGATCTGGGGTGGTGGCACTGGGGGTTTGGGTTGCAGCGCTGGGGGGCAGTACAGGGGGCTGGGGCGGTGGCACTGGGGGTTTGGGGGTGGCAGCGCTGGGAGGGCTGGGGTGGGGGGTCTAGTGGTTTTGGGGTCACAGCACTGGCGGGGGTTTGGGGGTGGCAGCACTGGGGGGTTTGGCGGCACTGGGAGCTCTGGGGTCGCAGCACTGGGGGTTTGGAGCCACGGTGCTGGGGGGTCTGGGGTCACAGCCCTGGGGGGGTTTGGCGGCACTGGCGGGTTTGGGGTCACAGCACCGGGGGTTTGGGGTCCGGGGCCCCCCGAGCACGGACACGCTGGTTCAGCCCCTGGCGCTGCCGGGATCCGCTCGGGGGGGGGCCCAGGAGAGGGTGAGGGGGAATTTTGGGATCCCCTGGACGGGGCTGCACCCCCCGACCCATCCCCGCCTTCACTACACCCGCCTATGACGTCATGCACCAGCAGCCAATGGTGAGGCAGAGGGGGGTGGGTGGGGCTGCGGTTTGAGGTGCCCGGATGTTGGTGGGGGCGGGGCCTCGTCCGACCCCCAGTCCGGTCCCAGCCCAGTCCCAATCCAATCCCAGTCCAGTCCCGGTCCAATCCCAGTCCGGTTCCAGTCCAGTCCTGCCCTGTCCCAGTCCGGTCCCTCTCCGCCCCCAGTCCAGTTCCAGTCCTCTCCCAGTCCAGTTTTGTCCAGTTCCAGTCCTGTCCAATCGCAGCCCAGTCCCAGTTTGCTCCCAGCCCAGCACTCCCAGTCCCACCAGTCCAGTTCCAGTCCCTCCCAGTCCGCCCCAGTTTCCCGCTGGCCGCTCCCAGTCCAGTTCTGTCCAGTTTCAATCCGCCCCCAGTCTGATCCCAGTCCGCCCCCAGTCTGGTCCGAGTCCACTCCCTCCCAGTCCGCCCCAGTTTCCCTCTGGCTGCTCCCAGTCCCTCCCAGTCCCTCCCAGTCCGCCCCAGTTTCCCTCTGGCTGCTCCCAGTCCCTCCCAGTCCGCCCCAGTTTCCCGCTGCCAACGCCCGGACGCTGCCGCTCCCCGCGTCCAATCCCCAGTTTGTCCCAGTTTGTCCCAGTTTGTCCCAGTTTGTCCCAGTTTGTCCCAGTTATCTCCGGAACTGGGGCTGGCGCCGCTCCGGAACCAGTTTGGTTCCGTAATGGAAAAGAATTAAAAATACCCCAGAACTGGGCGGGGATTCCTCTTTTTTTCCTGCAGATTTTCCTTTAAATAACTCCAAAACCCAAGGAAAAAAAAAATCCTATGTGGAAAAGGGAAAACCGGAGGGATTTGGGTGAAGAAAGAGGAAATTGGGGTGAAAGATGAGGAGGTTTGAGGTGAAATAGGCGGGATTTATTTGGGGGAAAATGGGAATTTTGGGGAAACCAAAGGCATTTGGAAGTGGGTGGGATTTGAGGTGAATTAGGTGGAAATGGGGTGAAAAAAGAAGAAATTGTGGGTGGAAACGGGAGACATTTGGGTGAGGGTTTGGAATTTGAGGTGAAATAGGTGGAAATGGATGAAAAAGAAGAAATTTGGGGTGATTTAGGTGGAAATGTGATAAAAAATAAGAAATTTGGGTTAGGGTTTGGAATTTGAGGTGAAATAGGTGGAAACAAAAAATAAGAAATTTGGGTTAGGGTTTGGAATTTGAGGTGAATCAGGTGGAAATGGAATGAAAAAAAGAATTGTGGGTAGAAACGGGAGAAATTTGGGTCAGGGTTTGGAATTTGAGTGAATTAGGTAGAAACAATTAAAAAAGAAGAAATTTGGGTTAGGGTTAGGAATTAGGGGTGAATTAGGAAGAAATGCGATGAAAAAAGAAGAAACTTGGGTTAGGAATTTAAGGCGAATTAGGTGAAACTGTGATTAAAAAACAGGAATTTGGGTTAGGGTTCGGAATTAGGGGTGAATTAGGTGGAAATGGAATGAAAAATAAGGAATTTGGGGTGGAAACGGGAGGAATTTTGGGTTCCTGCTCATAAATCCTGGGGAAAAGGGATTATTTTTCTAATTTAACCAAATTAATTTCACAACATTGAGCGCGCAAAAGCGGCTGAAGAGAGCCCCGCCCACTCACAACACATGGGCGTGGTTTGTCACAGCCACGCCCATTTGGTGTAAGGGGCGTGGCTTCCCTGCCCCTCCCCTCACGGAGCTCCGCGCGAAGTAAACACAACCACGCCCCGCCCCTTTCCCCGCCCATCCAATCCGCGCCCTCCGCCCGTTTCAAGTCCCCCCTAGCCCCGCCCCCTCCCCGCGCCCGTCCCACAGCGGCGGCGCCGGCCCCGCCCCGGGGGCGCCTGGAAACCGCCGCGGCCCCGCGCGCTCCGGTGGGCGCGCGCCCCCGCCCCCCCCGCCCCTCCCCCCCCCACCGGACGCGGCGGGAGCGGCAGGTACCGGGGGGGGGGGAGGGGCGGGGCTGACCCCGGGATGGGGGGGATGGGGTGAGGGGGGTGGGGTCAGCCCCGTGTTCCCCCCGTGTCCTCCCCGGCCGCTGTCACCCTCCTGTTGATGCCCCCCCCGGGACGCCTCCGCCGCTCCCGCCGCTCCCGGAGGCGCTGCCGGGGGAACGGAGCGGAGCGGGGACGGGGAGAGCGCGGCGGTGCCAGCGGGAGCGGCCGGGGACGGTGCCGGGGGGTGCGGCGGCCGCGGCCCGGTTCAAGTAATCCAGGATAGGCTGTTCCAGCCCGGCCTGTTCCCGGTTACTTGTCCCGGGAGGCGGCCGGTGACGTCACGGAGCGGGGGGACCGGAGCGGCTGCCCCCCG